CATAAAAAAAAAAAATTTCATAAATATACTTAAATATATATATATATATATATATATATATATATATATATATAAAGTGAATAATATAATAAATCAAGATAATGTTTCTAATTTTCTCATAATAATTGTTTTTTTTTCAACAATTATTTTCTATTCTTAAAATTATAGACTAATTTCACTCGCAATATTATTATTGGTTTAACAAGTTTTGACACAGTTAAAATCAAATACAAGATCTATTATTTAGTAAAAAAATTGTGTTTGATTTCTTGTTTGAAAGACTCGTTAAACTAACAATAATTAAAATATGGCTAGTGAGATTAATCTTTAATATAATAGACTAGAAAATACCCTTTATAAAACAAAAAAAAAAGTCAAATCACATAATTAATGAGAGACGAAAATTTTGCTAAAATAGTCTCAAATGGATGCACAACAAATTGCAATCCCCAAATAAATTACAATGGTCAAGTTTTATGCATATCTTGACTCTAATTTACTTTCTTTCCACTTGTATAATTTCCGAATGAGGGATGGAGAAGGAGAAAAAAGAGACATAATCATGAAAAAGGCACATAATCGTAGATTACTTTATTATTGTAGATTGGTTTACTTATGTTTATTGAGTATGGTTTGCTGATGTTGTTTATGCATGCAAGACTTTGGATATGATAGGCACATGTTCAATGTACTAGAGGTGAACAAGACAAGTTATGAGAACTGCATAGACACAGGGTTTATTAAGAACATATCAAGGGGTGCAGGAAGAGATGTGTTTCAATTGAAAGAGATGAAGACCTACTACTTCTTAACTGGAGGAGGTTATTGTTGGCAAGGGATGAAGGTTGCTGTGGATGTCACTGATGGTGTTGATGGACCAGCTTCATCACCTTCACCTGGAAATGCTGCTCCAGCACCTTCACCAACAAGTGATGCTTCTGGGATTCAGTTCAACCAAATTCTTTTGCTGTTCATCTTTGCCTTGATGTGGGGTGTTTCTTCAAATTACATCAGCTATTAGAGTTGGTAGACTGCAAGGATTTATCATAGTATCAATTGTAATTGTTGTGCTGATTTTACTTTTTGGAATGGTAAGCTCAATTCAAGGTATCTTCTAATTTTATTAATGTGATTCACATCAGTGGTGAGAGTTTGAATAATTTGGACAAAGTTTTAGGTTCAAACTTCGTTACTATCATTGGAAAAAAAAAATGGTTCACAGTTGCTACGTAAAATTATTTGTTTGAAACGTATTTGTGGATTCATTGCATCGAAATATTTGATTATGTCACAACTATAGTTGAACAAAATAACCGACTGTTTTGAGCACATAATTTATTAACTATACCATAACTATACTCGCTTTTCTCTTTTAAAATTTGGCTATAAAATGCAAGGTTTCAAAAACTAAAAACATGAAGAAAAAAAAATTGAGCCTCTCTTGTTAATTGTTAGACTATTTAATATTTATATCATTGGTGTGAAAAGGTATGATATCTCTTTAAATTTTTAGGATGTGGTATCCTAAAGGTTTTGGATTATGTTGTGTAAGGTATTCCCATAAATCTTCTAAAGTGAGGTATCCTTAGAATATTGAGTGACTTGGAGTGTGACATTTTTAAGATAGTAGGATAAGACATCTATAATTCTAAAACTAAAAGTCAAAATTGTATTATCAAATTTAGTGAAGAAATTCTCAAACTTGACTTAAGAACTAGCTGTAAGTTACAAGTAATTAATGATTGAATTAAATTTTAATACTCTTTACTAACTCTTATATTTTTAGATAATGTTTGGATGAAAAATTTAAATGAAATAGTTCATTCTTTTAAAAAAATTTAAATGTCTTGTGATGAAATGTTTTGTCTAGAAGAAGAATTTATAAAGAATTTAAAATTCAAATATTATTTATAAAGAATTTAAAATCTAAATAATAATGAAATTCTTTAAATTAAAAGAATTTTAAATTTTTTTAAAAAGTAAGAATTTTAAATTTTTCATATTTTTTTCTTTCTTATTTCACCTATATATCTTTTCTCTCTCTCTTATCGCTTAATTATTAAATATTCAAAAAGTATTTTTAATTATTAAATATTAATTTTTAAAACTATTAAATATTTAAAAATAGCTAATATTTATTTTTATAACATTTAATCTTAAAATATATCAACATTCTTCACCGAAATTGATAAATAGGTTTATAGTGTGTTTGGATGGAAAATTTAAAGGAATAATTTATTTACTTGAAAATTTTCAAATTCTTTGAGGTGAAATACCTTGTTTGGATGGAGAATTTATAAAGAATTTGAAATTCAAGTATTGGTGAAATTCTTTGAAATAGTAGAATCTCAAATTCTTCCAAAAAATTAAGAATTTGAAATTCCTCATAAATTTTTTCTTATTTCACTTATATATTTTATCTTATCTCTTATCTCTTCATGTTTTTAATTATTGAATATTCAAAAATATTTTTAAAATTATTAAATATTATCTAATATTAATTTTTAAAATTATTAAGTATTTAAAAATTAGCTAATATTTTTTTTATAAAATTTAATTTAAAAACCTCAACATATACATATATTTTTAAAATTAATTTTACCATGGTAGAATTAAATTATCATATCCAACCTAACAATTTAAAATTTAAGAAATTTAAATTAACTTATCCAAACAAAATATTTTAAGAATGATAGAAATTGAAATTAAGGTAATTCAAATACTAAAAATTTAAAATTCCTTGAATTTGTAAAATTTCTCTTCCATAAAATAGTGTGTGAAAATGATTTTTAAAACAACTTAATTCACCCATTCTTTCTTGAGTTTAAAAACATCTGGGTGACAAGTGAAAGTAGAGTTTGACTATTTATTAGGTTAGGTAACATATGGGCTCAAACAACTCTTTCCAACAGGGTGAATCTATGAACCAAGATCCTTTTATTTTTATTTTTTTTTATTGAAGTGTATGCATATTGGAAAAAACATATGAACATTTTTATTGAGTCAATATATATAGACGTATAGGAAGCTCTTGAAAACTGTTTCTATACACACTCATATTGTTAATGAAGAGGTAAAGGAAAAACCTAGAAAGAATTGAACTAATGAAGAACAGAAAAAGGTTCAATTAATTTTGAAAGGCAAAAATATTAATCTGTATTTTTAGTTATGATGAATTCTATTATAAGTCACAGATGAAGTTAAAAGAGCTAGATTGAATACCCTTCCTTACCCATGACCATGAAAATGAACTTTCCCGTATAGAACCTAATGAGAATATTAAAGATACGTAAAAATGCTTTAGTCAAATATTTAACCATCGTGCTTCATTAGGAAAGAAACTTGTTAATAGGAAGTGATAAACAAGGTTTTGAGATGCCTAAGTAGAAATTAGCAGCCCAAGTTAACTGCAATTAAACAATCTTAAGCAATTTTACCTTCATATGATGAATTGCAAGATGCCTTTGAACAAATTCAGAATGAGTACTTAGGATTAGCCAAAGTTGTTTTTACTCAAAAAAGAATTCATCTCTATTTTAGAAAATCAAATTTCAAAATAAAAAAGATGGAAGAAATTAAAATTTAAAATAAATTTTTAGAAATTACCTAGTATTATTCCTCATGTAAGACCTACACACAAGAAAGTATTTCCACACCCTTTAACTCTTTAAAATGTATAAGTTTAGCAAAAGAAATAGATGATTAAAAAAAGGAGAACGATCAAATTACACATAATTTTAACTAATTATTATATCATGAGTAATTTTATATTAAAAATATATTTTATCAATTCAATCATTAAATTATAACTTTATATCACCTTGAATATTTATGTCAAATTTTATTAAAATTGAACAATAATAAAAAAAATAATCAAATTATTTTTTATTATAGTATATTTTGAAAAATATACATTATGTCAATCCTAGATTATATAAATGAGGTATCAAATAATTTTGAATATATAATTTAAGTGAAAAAACTTTGCAATTAACAATCAATTTTATAAAATTATCATTTAATTACAAATTATTAAACAATGTATTAGTTAATTAAAAATTACCTCGACGTAATTTGGTCCATCAAGTTTGCTAAATTTACAAAGGAAAGTGATAATATAAAACATCTGCAAAGATGTCGATAAAGCAAGACTATGATAGAATCCTAGTAATAATAGCTTTTAAAAACTTTATTGCATCTAAGACAACTAGTAGTCCTCTATTGAAGTGTTTTCACTGTCGCAGGAAATGTCACATTACATCTGCTTCTGGTATAAAAAACAAAGGACCTTTGTTTGGTAAGAAAATTTGGGTACCCAAGAGATTTGGTTTCCAAAAACTAACAATCAAGAATCGAAAAAGGTTTAAGTACCAAATATGACTAATCATTTTGGTAACAAAATAATATAATTACTATGATTAATTTGATTTGATACAATAGGGTCAAAAGAATCTCTTGAATTTAAATTCGAAATAAGTTCTTTCCAGATATATAGTGCCAATTAATTAGAATTTGGAAATGATTTGATTTCGTTCTAAAAATGTGTCAATGCTAAGTATCTCAATTGGTGCCGGTCAATCTTTCCATATACATTAATTTGGAACTTAGTATACATACATATTGAGTCTCAAGATCATATTTCGTCACAAATAGATAGAGACTTTGACAAAAGAAAATGGAGATTTTGAGCTTCCAAAAAATGGTGTTGATGATGATGCTGACCATGATGTTCATAAACATAACGAAATCAGAGCTTCACTACGTTGGAGGGGACAAGTTTAGTTGGGTACCCAAAGTTAACCTGACAGAATGGTCAAGTCACGAGCACTTCCATTTGAATGATTGGCTTTGTAAGTCTCTCTCTCTCTCTCTCTCTCTTCTTTTTAAATGTTTTGTTTTCTCTTAGACTAAGTGGATGAGCAGAATGGTTAATAATGGGGTGGCAATAATTTAACCTATTATGAGTTTTATGAGCACAAGAACCTAAATTAGTACACACCATTCAAATTTCTGAAGTTCAATACCCTCTAATTATTTAGGGGCCAAAGAGATCATTTTTCTTTCAATTATCATTTATGATTTAAACCTTTATCGATCTAAAATTTTCATATCATTTTTTTTCAATTTGTTTTGCCCAATCATTTTGTATTACTTGTTTTTTTTAAAATAATTTAATTCTTACATTGAAATCTCCCGAGTGTACGTGGGAAATTATATCTAGTGAGAGGGTTGTTTTTATATAAGAGTGAGGCATAATATGAACCATACAACCATACAAGAATAGTTAAAACTTAATGTTAAGTGGTCACTTAAAAAATCATGTGACTTCGTAAAAATATCACATGACTTGCTTTTTTTGATTTTGACTACTCACAATAAGATTTAACCGTAATTTAGTTCTGTAGATTAACTTTCTTTCTCTTTTGACTATGATTTACTGAAGTTGTTATGCTTGCAAGACTTTGGATATGACAGGGACATGTACAATGTACTAGAGGTGAACGAGACAAGTTATGCGAACTGCATAACCACAGGATTTATTAAGAATGTATCAACAGGTGCAGGAAGAGATGTGTTTCAGCTGACAGAGTTCAAGACCTTCTACTTCTTAAGTGGAGGAGGCTATTGTAGTGATGGGATGAAGGTTGCTATAAAGGTTACAGAAGGTGTTGCTGCACCCACTCCAGCACCTTCACCTAAAAGTGCTGCTCCAGCACCTTCACCAGAAAGTGCAGCTCCAGCACCTTCACCAGAAAAAGGTGATGCTTGTGGCATTCACCTCAACCAAATACTTTTGGTGTTCATCTTTGTCTTCATGTGGGGTATCTCTTCAAATTACATTAGCTACTAGAAATGGTAGACCACAAGTAGATTTACCATATCGATGTGTTGATTTTATGTGTAATGGTAAGCTGAATTATGGCATTCAATGTATCTTTTAGCTTTATTAATAAGTAATTTCACACTTGTGGAAAGTTTGAGTATTTTTTGCATGATGTTCTAAGTTCAAATGTTGTACACAAAAAAAAAAAAAAAAAGGTTTGCTTGCTACTGTTCTTAATAGTTTTGAATGTCAATAAACTTTTCCTACAAAACTATTAATATTGACGAAATTTATCATCAAGAGTATCCCTTTGTGCCATTAGATTTGGAACTCTGCGCAAAGAAGTAGCTTTTGAGAAACATGACCAAAACACAAATAACCAAGCATGAGTTTTCATCAACTACATCAGAATAAGAAAGAGAACAATAACTTTGTCTGCTTTCTATCTTTTTGTTCAGGGTAGGGGATCGCAATTTAGATTTTAGAACCCGATTGGTTAAAAGTATCAATTAAAACTCAAAACAATAAATATATTACTGATATGTCTAAAATTGCCTTTGGAAAGGTATTCATGCTTAACAGTTTAGGACAGTGAGTATCTCTTTCACCGCTCCTCATGTTGTTCCAGTTCTAAACTCAAGGTTGGTAACAAAGCCACAGCCTCACCATCGATGACAAGAAGTTCACCATTCTTGAAGCACTTTGTCTTGAACTTTGCACTAAATAACACTCAGAAACATTATTTTAAAAGCAAAATTACTCGTCTCAAAGAGAATGCACAATAACAATGTCAGGACTTAACTTACAGATGTCGATTTTTATTTTCTCTCAGATTAGTTGCTTGCACTTCCCCAATAATCTTATCTCCAATATAGACCGGGAACTTAAAATTCAAGCTTTGAGATACGTACACAGCTCCAGGCTGCAATTATCCACACTATTAGAAAAGTGAAGGGGGCCAAGGAAGAAAAGAAATTTAAGAAAGCTATCAGAGAGAATCAGAATGAATGAATGATCATATTATTGCCTCAACTCACATCATTTATCAAGCACTTTAGAATTAAGTCTTTTATTCAAGTTGACCAAATCCAATGACTAGTACGAATCATGCAACCAGCAACCCACGATAAAATTTAAATTGAGTCACTAAAACACTCAAGTCTTTTATCCACGCATTCATATTTTCATGTCTCCCATAATAATATTAAAATGTATGCTCATTTAATCTATGCAATTTCACATCTTATCCTTCTTGATTTTATCATACTCTCTTTCATGACATAATTTTCCATTAACAGGTGTTGAATACTCTAGTCTACTGAAAGTATGTTCATGGGGGCAGGGGGATTTGGATCCTGGAATCAACTTTGGTTCCCAAAGCTATTGATTGTGGCAGAAATTTCAGTCACAAAAAAAATGACTTTACAAGTAAACGTGTATGCTATAAAAGTATAAATTCAGTATATAAAAAAAACAAAAGAACTCTCTTGATTAGTCTGTTTATTCACTCTAATTCAGTTTATTGAGATGAGAAAGCTAACTGTCTCAGTTCCATAGGCATATCAAAATTTAAAGAGAGGGTTGGCATGAAACTTACAAAATGTGATGAGATGATATGAGGAAAGAGAGAAGCCACGAGCATCCCATGTACCAGCGGACCTTCAAATCCAACATTTCTGGCAGCAACAGCGTCGGCATGCAAAGGATTGGAATCACAACTCACCTTGGAGTACTGAAGCACATCTTCCTCAGTAAAAACCCTTGCTTTTCTCAAGACATCCCCAGGCTTAAGTACATGAGGAGTTACAGAAGTAAAGCACCTTAGACTCAGAAACTGGACTTTGCGACAATGTAAACTCCTTATAACCATTCTTACAAGGATTCAATGCAACAAAACAAAGCTCTGATGTGGTCCCCACTAACTGAAAATCAAAGTAAAGGGAACCTTAATATTCCCACACTGATGACCAACAAAAATTATTGAAAGTGAAATAAACAAAAAGATAATCTCATAAACTAATTGTGAACTTAGTCACCCATCGTCATTTGTTTGATGTAGCAACTAGAGTTTTAAACAACACACTAAGCAGGTGTTGTAGTCAAAAGGTGATAATAATGCAGTATGCATCTTCACTCCAAAAAGAAAACACGGAATAAATAAGAAAAATATCTTTCGGGTTGTTGGTTGCAACGGTTTTAACAAACAGCTAAGCTGCATGCCAATAGTTGAAGAATATCACAACAAATAAAAGCAATATGAATCGAATTCCATCCATAAAAAGTAAATGCTTCACCCGCAGAGAGACAAGAAACTGTGAAACTGAGATATCATACAAAACCACGTTATTCTCCTTGAATTATTAACTTTGCAATTCTCTCCGAGCGGACCCCCTCCCCGCGCAAGGCTCCCGACTGGACCTCCCTCCCCCGCGCGCGCGGCTCAGCAAATAGAGAGAAAGAGACACGTTGCTTTGAGAGAAAGAGAGAGTGAGGAGAAAGAGAATGAGACGTGAGAGATGTGAGTGAAAAGTAAAAGAGAAAGAGCGTTGCAATTTTTTTATTATCGTAATTTTTATAATTGTAATTTTTGATATTTTTTATTATTGTAATTTTTGGTATTTTTTTATTATTATATTTTTTAATTATTTAATTTGTTTTGTTAATTATTTATATTTATATATTATCTATAATAATTAATTTTATAAAAAGTTATCATAAGTGTGAAGTGTGAAAAAATGTAATATGAGTTGTAAAAAAGTAGAGGTGCTTATAAGTAATTTTTATTGGAGAAAAAATTATAAAAATATAATATAAGTTACTTATGAGTGACGTGACATAGTAAAATCCATTTAAAGTAATTGAGAATATTGTAGATGCTCTTAGACATTTATTCGTGTGCAAAATACAATTTTGTTATTCGTGAAAAAAGTGATTAGCACACAAATAAATTTGCCTTGGTCAGGCATATTACTTTCATATAATAATTATTATAGTTTACGAAAAAAAAAACTGAATTATATTATTGCAGCAAGAAAAAAAGTACCCATAAAAAGAAAAGCAATTTTCTAGTCTAGTGGAATTTTCTACCAGTAACAATCTTACTCGAGCAATGTAAGACCTAGACAGGTGTATACTAAGAGTAAAATTTTATCCTCAAAATCACTAGTTAAATCTCGCTAATTTTGAAGAGATGTATAAAAAAAATTGAACTAATTCGATTTATATTAAAAAAATTAATTTATTTTGAGGAAAAATTTAAACAAATCTATTTTACAAAATTGGTTCTATTATCTGATCTATTTTAATAAAATCGATCGGTTCAATTTGATTAAGATCGATTTTTTAAAAAATCAATCCATATATGAATATAAAATAAATAATCATACTAAATTGATCCGGTCCAAAAAAAAAAAAACTTATCCATATTTCTAAAAAATTGAACTGATTTACATTTAAAAAAATAGATTGATTATCAATCCTCTTTTATAAAATGAATTAATTTAATTGGGTTTGATATGAATTTTTAAAAAATTTAAACACAAAAACTTACAATTATGTCTCATTTGATCTACTTGTCAAGATCAACTACTTATTAAAAAAATGATAACATATAAAGTTGATAAACTTTGTAAGTTGAAACAAGGCAATGATGAGATGATTTGAGGTTAGTACTTGAGTAAAGTGCCAATGGTTTTAGTCAAAAGTTTGGCAGGCGGAGTGGAGGTGATGATAAGAGTGTAGTAAATAAGAAAAAGTTGACAGTGATACCATATTCCATCAACTAATGCAATGTTACTTTACATTTGGTGGACCACAATGCCTAACCCTCAATTCATCTTGTAGTGATAATGAAATAATATAAAGTAGAAAAAAAAAATACATAATCAGAAATAATAATATAGTCACGATTAAAATTTCAACTGCTTGAGGTACAGTCAAAGATTGAAATCCAGGGGATTTATTTTCTCTCCGTGATTCCATATTTCATACTGCTGCTCATTTTCAGTATCAAATATATTTGTTTAACTTAAAACCCACAACACAAAGTCAGTTCAACACTATTTGGTTGTATCTTGGTAAAATTTTCAGGAGTCGTTATTTTCTATTATTGGACAATAATCCAGCAACATCACAATAACAATTACCAATGAAGAGAACTATTACAAAGTTTCCAATTCTATGCACAGCTTATTTACTACCCCAACTTTGATAGTGTTTATTTAGCCTCAAATCCTAAAAACAAATATTGTCTATAAGAACTCCACCAAAATCCATAAACCTTAGGATTATTAGAACGAAAATTTTAAAATAGGAGTTTCGTACTTAATTAAACCCACAATGGATTAACCTTGAAATATTAATTATCTTCACCGACAGATATATGCGCAATAGAGAACGAGTTACATATCAGCGAATATTACAACAAAGTTGCAATTAAATATAAAAACACCCTAATTTAAATGAATGAATACTTATGGAATTAAAGATAACAACAAATACAGATGTCACTCACCGAAGACTTGGGAGTTAAAAAAATTATCAATGTAATATAAACATGAAAAATCATAGCGATTTACGGCCCGAATAAATTGACAATTGGAACATCTATCCGATTTGATCGAGTCATGCAAATCGAAGCGGTAATCAATCATGCAGATTATATCCTAATCTAACGTAATAACAACCGTAGATCACAAACGAGCTTTTTGTAAGAGCAGTGCTGTGCATTTACAAACCAGCAAAACATTCCCACAAACCGCTAAACCTAAAACAGAAGCCATACGAAAAGCATATACCTTTTAACAATCTTCAAAAGAGGAGATTTTAACAGTATTCAAAATACTAAAACTAAAAACATGTAAAAGGCGAGAGCAAAATGCTTTTCAACAACCTATGGCGCCTGTTGTTTACGTCTACTTAAACCGAGTCCTCCACAAAAAACTAGATTGCTACTTAATATTATAAACAGCATTGTTTAACGAGGATAAGTAGAACAGCTAAACACGCCTCAACAAAAGAACATTGAGCTGGACACATTTTCCTGCAACCTAGGCAACTGAGGGACTGGAGGTGCAGCCTGACCCTGACCACCATGACTCGAAGACGTCTCCGATTTATCCTCAAATTTCATAAACTGGCCCATCTGAGTTGCAGCCAAGTGAGCATAGCATATTGGAGCAACTGCATAGATTGGAATTTTACACATATGAGACTCTGTATATATCTACAAACAAGAACATAAATCACAAAGCTAGAAAAGGCTGCGTACGAACTTACCAACAGAAATGGCAGTAGTGCTCCTCTGATACCTGTTTTCAAATAACAAAACGACTTTACGACGATGCCAAAGGCTTAAACAATATATTTTAAGTACCCAAATAGATATAAACTTTCACTTACACATATGATAAGGAATGCACAAGCTCCTGTAGATCATCGGGAGAAAAACCAATCTCATCTAACAGAACATGATAATGTGTAGGCCTGCTAGTACCCTGAGAAGTAAATTTTCAAACAAAACAACCATAGGTTATCATAATATACTACACAAACGCATCAGTACGGAAAACTTATAGGGAAAGCCAGCCTCATACATTGAAATCACTTTAATTCACAACATTCAATAGTAACACTAGCATATAAATAAAAATTACAAATATATACAATGGTGAAAACCAGACATAAATATTAAAATGCTATATTAAAAAAAAAAAAAAAGAACGAGACCAGGATGACCAGAAATCTTCATTTGGTATTTTTCCAAACAAGTTCCACACATACAAAATGTAATTAAAAATAATGCATATGCATCTAAAAGAACATCGTATACATTATTAGATCAAAGGGGAAAAATCATAATACACACAAATTGAAAAACCAAAAAACCATACTAAAATAAGAAAGAACCACAAAATATACATAGATACTCACTATCATTCCAGCATGTGCACACATATAGAAATCGTAATTCCGAGGATGGCAAATTTTATTATCAATTACAGTTCCTGCAAAATTCACAAAGAGATTAAGAAATAACAAAAAACAAAAATATTAAATCCTATTAAACTTCTAAAAGAAAGTGACATACCAGGGGGAACATTGTCAGGAGACCCAGGCTGGAAGAATTTAGTATGATGATTCTTTTGAGCAACAATCACCAAGAATTTGGGATTCCATTTTTCATCAAGAAATTTACATGCCTAATATTTAAAGTCAGGAATAATCACATAAATACTTGAAACATTTCATAATTTGAAAATATTTGATCAAACAAACAAGCACCTCAATAATTTGATCAAGTTCCTTATTTAAAACTTGATTGAACTGCGACTCACTAACACCATCCCTACATTCAGAAGAAAAAATCAATACTAATTAATATAAACAAGAATAATAAAGTAATAAAGTGCAATAACAAAAATGAGAACATAATTAACATGCAGTTTAACACACAAACAAGACCAACAGAAAACCCAAAAACATTAATGGGGACAAGACACAAAAAAGACAAAATGGAGAAAATAACATATTGAAATAATAACTAGATAAACATAATAAATATAAATATAGAGAACAATTTCACCACTTCAGATTATGTGGACAAACCATGCATTGAAGGTAAATTAAACAAAGGTAAAGTAAATAAAATAATTATAATTTGAAAAACATCAGTTCAAATAAATGCAGAAACGAGAAACAATTTATGCATACGACACATTTTTTAAATTGCAATGTCTTGTAAAGAAATCAATTATTAATCACAGACGTTCATTTTAGCCACAACAAAACATTGACTTGCAGCAAAATATTCAGCATGTGCACTGTGAAATAATAAAATCTTAGTCAGACAGTCGTTAGTGTTAACCATCCCATAACTTGACGTCCATTGAAATATTAAAACAAACATTACAATAATAACAAAAAAAGAGAAACATATAGTTCACAAAACATTTAACCAAACATGTAGTACCAACTCAAACGACATTTATAAAAATTTAGGGAAAAAAAATAATTCACAGAACAAAATTTAGAGGAAAAATTAACCTGAAGATGATTATATTTTCAGGCTTCCTGTTCCCAGAACTAGTATAGAAGTCAAGTAGAAGTTCCCTGCAAATGTAAAATGCACTAGTAAATAAATGTTCATTTCCATAAAATACAGATTATCAAGAAAAATAAGCTACTATAAAATATTCATAAAATTGCGACTAGATAGCAACAAATACTTTAAAGCAATGTTCTACAAAACAATTTACAACACACAAGAAAAGGTGCATACAAAATCAGATTAAAAAATAAAAAATTTGGTAGCTATTGCACACTGTCAGCCCTGCCAAATATAAACATGCAAAAAAAAATGAACATCAATTTAGATACTAAATTATAGTCGATTTCAGTATCAAATACCTAATTAATTTCCAAAAAATTAAGGAGCACATTTGTTTGATGTATTAAATATCTTTGGAGGATAAAGTCATATATTTGATACAAAAAGTAAATTAACCTCATTATTCCATCATCCTCCTTTTCAGACACTTTCTTGAATAAATTATCAATCATTTCAACCTTTGGAGACTGGGTACGGACGCACGCCCTATACTTTGATATTAGAGGCCATTCTCGAGAGCTAACCACCTGCACATTCAGATATTATTCATACGAGCAATTACATATACAATATTGAAATAACCAAGAGACTTGAAACAATAAATAATATTTAAACAAATGTTCAGCATAAAGGCCACTAATCATTACCGCTGCAATTGAAGGAATATCTGTTTGGCCTGGCGAGCCATGAGACACATCCATGCCAATGATAATAGTAGGAGTTCTGGAAACCAGAGGAATAGAAGGAGAATGCTCAACACCCAACATTGAATTCAGGCCACCCAGCTACAAAAAAATAAATAATTCAATGAAAAGTACAATAACAAATGCCTCTATAGAAAGTGCACAGAAGATAATTACAATTATAGCATTACAACAACACAACTAAGAAAATAACATACCTTAGCATTGATTTTCAACAAAACATTAGTTAAATACTGATCATTGACCCTAGTTGGAGCTATACACTGAGTAACAATCCCAAAATCAGCCAGATTCTTCTTCTTCCACGGACCTTAACAAGTTAAATTAATCTTTCAGCAACAAAGAATCATCAATTGCAAGAGTTAAAAATGTTTCAGATAACTAACCATAAAGATCAGAATTTTTCCTTTCAGGAAGAAGACAAAGAAGAAACTGAGGAGCACCGGGAAGTTTAGACTGAATAAACTCAAACATCTTCTCAACTCTAACCAGGGGAGGTGCACGCCTAAACTGACCATTTTCTTCAAATACATCAAAAGGCTGATCAATCACCTGCCAAAAGCAAATAACAAAATTTTAGTCAGAAATCTAATTATGGTTTTGACTTGACTCGTGTTTGTGAAACTTACAATTCCTTTCATCGAACCACACTTAATGAGATCCCTCACAAGCCCACGTACATCACAGCGTGCAGAAAAGTTAACCACAGCCCATCTTTCAATTTTAGTTGGTTTAACAATTTTCTGGAAAAATAATTTGATCATTAGAAAATCCAAATCATTTTTATGAATATAACAAAATTACAAAACAAGTTGAATAAAATACCTTATTATTGAAGTTCCACCTGCCATTTCTTGGGTTGAAGTCTTCCCCGTTACCAAACTTCAACTGTAAATAGAAATTTATTAAACAGTTTTAATCCCATCATCACAAAACACAACATTAATCATTTGTGATCAAATAAAACCACTTCTCAATTAAGTTAACAAATATTTCTTAAAAGTCCAAATTGGAATTCTAGTGATAACTGTAATGCTAACTGCATAACTGTAAAATAAAACCACCTATGAAAAAAAAATTATAAGCACTTGCATAACTGTAATGATTACAAAATTACCCTTGGAGCTTGGAGAACACGACCCTCAACTTCTGTAAAGCCAGAGTTTATAGTAATCCCACAATTGCGAAGCATAGGTTCAGCGCCATAATTGCTAGTTTTAAGAGCCTGTAATATTAAAAGTAATATCAGGTAAGCCAGAAAGATGTAAGAGAATCCAATCACAACATATTAAATAAACATACATCAGACAACACCCTCATCCTCTCCTGTGGCTTCTGCCTAGACTTCTCCACCAATGAAGACCTCTGAAGAGTGGATAGCGCTTTTGTATAGCGTTGAAGGGATACCAAAGAGCAAAGCTAATGCATAAAATAAGTGGAAAGACATCGGTTAATAATCAAAGACTCAATCTATAGTTTTCAAATTCCCAATGCTAAAACAAACATATATCCCACAACTATACCTCAATGGGGAAATAAGTTGGCCGTTTTGGCTTTCCAACGTTGATGCATGGAAGTTCAGCAGAGTAACGGAGATCTATCTTGCGATGATTGACAAAATAATCCAATACGGTAACTTCCTCAGTGGCATCATCACCATCCGCTCCAGCTTTTTTCTTCAATGTAAACCTACGATGCCAGCACAATCATGGTTAAAAACTTCAATGATGATGAACAAAATAACCTTACTAATTATCAAATAAAACAGGATAACGAAATACAATTGCTCTTTGCAAGGAAGTTCACTGAGCCCAGTGATTTTGAATTCTTGATTAGATGGACTAGTTTTAATCCTCAAATTTTTCAGTGTCCTCTTGGCCTGTGTTCAAGAAAACAAATAAAAAATGACTTCATTGAATTTAACAACAAATAAATCACTAATAATCAAATAGTGAAGGAAATTTGCTTACCTTTGCCCAGTCAAGAGAATATGGATCTCTAACATTCTGATTGGAAATGAGAAAATCCACCACAGGCCCAGGGCTAATTACCATAGTGGTTGACACATCTGAACAATTTGCAAAAAAAAGAATATTATAAGACAAATTATGAAGAAAAAGATGTAGAATACAATGCATCAACAGATCAAACCTATGTTGAGAGACAAGCCACTCTGAGTTGTTCTAAAACTAGAATGAAATCCCCTACAACCCAGTACACCTCCTCCTACGTCAGCATAATTCTTAGCATCATTGTGAAAAAATGATTGCCGCACAAGCAAACAGCCTCTGCAAATAAACACACCTGTCAATAAAAATATAACAGAAAAGCAGAAAGCTCATAAAATAGCATTATCATTAGTAATATTAGTGGAAGAAAAATAAAAGGAAATATAAATAATTCACGCACTGTTTAGCAGCATGTTGCCTCAAAATGATATCAAGCACTCTGATTGCTTCTTGAAAATTTTCTGATTCCTGCCCCCGTAGGGCACTGGCAATTGCCTGCAATGGAATTTTGGAAGCAAAGCTCAGCTCAACATTATATGTCTTTGCTCTATTAGGGCGTCTCATCCTCTTCTTGTCAAATTCATTTGGTTCTCCATTTCCATCAGGGCTGCAGTTTCCATTATTTCTATACATACACAAGTAAAAAAAATTAGTTACACAACTTAAACAGCAACATGTAAGACAATTCAGAGAACTGAGAACCACCCGCATTCTAACCTGCTAGAAGTAACATCCTCCAACACCACAGTAAACTCAAGCTTGTTGCGATCCAGAGAACCTAGTGTAAACAAAGTCTTCTCACCATCATAAGCAAAATCCTTCCCATTCAATTCAGAATCATAAGTTTCCTGCACCCTGTCCAGCACTTTCCTCCCTACGCCCTTACCCTCCACAGGCCGGCCATCTTCATAAGTAAGAGACACCTGCTCAATTGTAAACACCGAAGGAATAATTCAAAGTAAACAGGGAACTTGAAGAGAGAAATTAATAAACCATGAGAAAATGAAAACACATACACTATACTGATAGAAGTATCCATCAGTGTTTCCAACGTTCACTTTGAAGTGATTAGTAAGAAGTTGCATCTTCATTCCTTTTGAAGCTAAGCCACGCCTCGCCATTGGAAGCCTCAAAGGCTTCTTCTTCTCCGGTTCAGCTTTGACAGGTACAACATCAGATGGCACCACGGGAGGTGGAGGAGGTGGAGGCAAGGAATCCTCGGTCTCATTTCCATTGGTCCCAAAAGAATCCATCTCCTGCATGTTAGATCATGCAATTATATCAGCAAATCCAAACTATAAAACACAATCAGCTATATAAGAAAAGTAATTAAATAATGTTGTCAACACAAGTAGTTACTTCCAATAATCCTTCGAACAAAAATATCTGCTGAGATTACAGTAAGACGCATTCAACTCTAAGCATATCTTCATACAACATAGTACAACACAATTTCATACACAGAAAACATGAAAACAAATAGTGTACAGATAAAACAATGATAAACATGTATTTAAGAGTGGGAAAACAGGTAATCTATAATCTATAATTATATTTATATTCATTACTCTAACAGAAAGTGATGAAACAAAGCAAATAAGCAAAATACATTTTATTCAACTAAATATAAGCATGCAGTACAGTAAAAACGCATGCAGAAACTCTAAGATGCATCATCTACATGCATTTTAGTAAAACACATTGTCATACAACATATAAAAATGAAAACAACTTAAATACAAATAAAGCGACAAATAAACATCATGTTAAGAGGAGGAAAATAGATAATCAAGTGTAATATTTATTTCTCTTTCTCAAACAGGAAGATATGAAGCAGAGCAAATAACAAGTCGAATGCATTTTATTCAAATCCATGCACATGCAATGCAAGCAAAAGAAAATACACGAGCGCAGTAAAAGACATACATACGGAACGTAAAAGTTAAAGCAAAGAAAACATTAAAAAATAAAATAAAAACGAAATCAAAAAATAAATACAAATAAAAACAAAAACGGTCCTCTGGAAGCAAAATCAGGCTCCATGAAGCAAATATCTGGCTTCGGAACTCAAATGCCCAATAAAACTCTCGAAGCGGCCGCCGATTCGGGCCATCATTTAACCGAACACGATTCTCGATTTTTTTTATAAAAAAAAAAACTGAAAAACTAACACGCCGAAATCACAATCGGTGAAAAAGCATGGAGTGAACTCCAACACTCTGAAAATTGAAGCGAAGACGCTTCGCCTCTCAAGCAAAACGCATTTAAAAAGTCAACCACGAACAACGAAAGCAAAATCACCTCAAACTAAGCACACACACACAAAAAAACCGACGATCAAAGCTCATACAAGCACATGCAGCGAAAACAACATCACAAAAATACAGATAAACGAACACAAGCAATACTAAAGCATTTCTAAAGCACAAAACCCTAAACAAACAGAAAACTCTGAGAAAACGGTAAAACAACCAGCGATAACGAAACATGAGAACGAAAAACGCAGCAAACAGCAAATGCAGCATGTGATCACGAGACAGAGCAAGGAAACGAGATAGATAAAAGAAAAAGCGAAGCGAAATTCGCGAGTAGAGGAAGAGTTCACTCTTCGCTCACCGGAAAATCAGTGACAGAAACTCACAGCAAGCACAGAACGCAAACCCTAAGGCGCAGAACCAGAGAGAAATGGAAGGAAAATGATTTGAAGTGAGGTTGCGTTAAGTCCTCCTCTCACTCTTTTAATAGTGGCAGCGAGAGTGAATCAGCACCGGTTACTCTTCCTCTCGACTAACAAGTGAGAAGTGATGCACTCTGCGGTGCCGCTGGATACAGTTCGTACTGTTGAACCCCTTCGCGGACGTTGGATGGTCTCTCACGCTGACGTGGACGGCGGAGATTTGATCACGTTTTTAAAGCTCCAATTGATGACGGTTTTCGATTTAGTTCATAAAGGTGGAGCACGGTGATTACGTTTGCATTTGTGGACCCACTTCCCTCAGCTTTGCTACTAGTACTTTTTTTTTTCTTTTTTCTTTTTTCTTTTTTGCTAAAGAGAAACATGAACATCGATTCCTTCGATACTAAAACTTTTTATATTCACGTTTCGTGATATTGGGTGCGGATAACGTTGCGAATAAAAGACTATAAGGAGTCACCAATGGGCAAAATACTAATTTATTCAGTTATTCACATCACACCAGAAATCTTGTTCGCGTAATTAATCGCGGCTACGATTTTTTTTTTTTTTGCTGTGTTTTAAAATTTTAAATAAAAAATACATAAAAATTTGTTTGTTGATAAATATACTGAGTGTTTCAAAAATAAGTAAATTATAAAGAAGGTAAAAATAATAATTTGTTTAAAGCAAGTCTATTTTGAATTTTCTTTTTTTAAAAAAAATTATAAAAAAATCAGTTATTAAATATTTATTTTGCTCATAACTTGTACTACCATGTTAATAGGATCACTAAGAATAGAAAAATTCTCTTTGTTAAAACTTAATAGAATAATTGCATTTTTAGAAAACAAATTCAAACCAAGTTGAAAAATCCCCCTATCAATGGATATACAAGCTCGTTAATATTGAGTAGATATTTAAAGATAAACTTTAAATTATAAATTCAAAACAACAATTGAGAAATATTTGTTTTATCAAAAATTATCAAAAAAAATCTAACAATTATATATTAACAGCATAAAACAGTCTTACATCTATAACTAATAAAATATCACTATAGGTATTTTTTTTAGTTATGTATTATAAAAATTAACAAACTTATCATATGTATGACTTGTGATTTGTTGAGAATATAAATATATGTTACATTGCAACAACATAACCTATTTTCTCAAATAAAAATATATAAAACACTTAAAATATAAAATAGTTTAATTAGTGAACAATTATGATACTTACTGGTCAGATGAAATTGAATATTTATTAAAATAATTTAGAAAATTAAAGAAGTTTTTCCAAATGTTTAGCTAACTAGTATTTTCCCCTTTAAAAAAACAAAACTAATTAGTATTTTAGCATATTTAAAAAAAATTGTATTTTAGCATGTTCATTGAATATGATAAATTTTTATTATATGTAACTAAAATTTATAGTTAATTATGTATAAATAAATATTATATTTATATATGTAATGTATATAACTTTATATAAAAAAATAATATATAAGTTATATTTCAAAAAATATTATAATTTAATTCAAAGTAAAAATGATAAATACTATTTCAAATAGAAGGGAAAAAAATTAAAAATCCACAAACCATCTCATTAAATAACTATTGTATAAAATATTTATCTTCTCAAGCCTAAAATTGCTATAACAAAATATATTATATAACATTAATTTATATATTTTATATATAATGTTATATTTATGGGAGTGTATTTAATGAAAACATGAGAGTATATTAATTAGGATTTCAAAAGACAAATTTAGCATGAAAAAGTCATGTAAATTTTAATAAATTTTAAAAAACTTTGTAGAAAATGTCAACTTTTATGATTTTTTAAAAGATTTTTAAAAATTAAATTTTAATCAAGACTTTGTAATTTAGATTTTAATGGAATCATATTATAAGATTTCAAATGATTTTATGAATTCCTGAAAAAAATATGGATTTGCAATACTATAAAATTTAATAAAAAGTTATATATAACATAAATAAGAAAGAAAAGTAAAACTAACATGATTTTTATATCTTTTGACAAATAATTATTTCTATCTTTTGATAAATAATTGACATTAGTGTCCTCTTGTTTAATATTTATTCACATATTTATAGTTATATTAGTCTTCAATGTATTAACATATTCTCTTTCATGCATTTAAATCTAAATAATATGTTTAAAATTATGGTCTTCGTTAACCAATAGTATTGAAGATGAAGATTTATTTAATGATTGAATTAGAAGTTCATTAGAACATCATTCTTTGTGGGGACAAAATATGCAATGTTACATACTGATACAAGTTCAACTTGTATCCTAAATATCTTCTCAATCACATTTTTTAAGAATGTATGGCGTAAATTAAAAAAAATCATTTCCATGGGTCATTATCATGAATTGTAAAGTCTTTTTAATATTTGTTTCAAAATCTCATATTTTAATGTTAAAATAAATGGTTATTTAATGATTTGAAAAAGTTGTTCAATAGATAATATTTAATGATACAATAAATTATTTTAAATATTTTATGATTAAAAAATAAATATTGATAAATTATACATTAATTGATAGATAAAGAAAATGATAGGATAAGAATAAGATATAAATAAAAAGAGAGAGATAAGAAAGAATCAGAAAAAGAGCAAGATAAAAATAAGTAAGAAAGGTGAGAGAGAAAGAGAGAGAAAAAACGAGACAAAAAAAAAAGAGATATATGAAAGGTATGAATAAAAAGAAAAAGGAAATAAATGAGATAGAGAAGAAAGAAAAAAAAAACAAGAATGGTGACAAAGAATGGGACAAAAATATGAGAGAGAAGTAGGAACAACGAAAGAAATATTTAAGAGAAAAAAAAAATAATGAATAGAAATATAAGGAAAAAGAAAAAAAAACATATGAAATCTCAAAGATTTTGATAAAATTGTTTGATGAGTGAATTACATATAAATTATATAATAAGTTTCGCAAAATTCAGCATTCAAAATGATTTATTGAAATATTTATATTTTGAATACCAACAAATTTCTTTAAAGTAAAAAAGTCTTAATTGAATATCACTAAATTTTGATGAATTTTTACAAAAAAAAAATGATTATCTTAATTGAATATCATATCACTTTTTTATATTAAAAAAATATTGATTAAATATCATAAGACTTTTTTACAATAAAAAGATCTTAAATTCTATTGAAATTTTAATTCAATACACCCTAAGTCTTATTATGAGAGATAGAATGAGTAAATCATAGTCTTTGAATTATAAATAAAGACTATGAAACAATATTTCCTATGATGTTATTTCTTAAATGATAAAACAAAGGTGAAAAACTAACATTTTTTTATGTTAGATTCTTAGAAAAGTAAAAAAAATTAATGTATCAAATGTATCTTTATAAATATTTTTATAAACATTATGACTTACCATATAGATTTTCATGATTTCTAAAAATCATAATTTTCAAGATTTATGATTCTTATTAATCATGATTCTCAAACATGAAAAAATTTGTTTACCCCTTATAAATTATAGAATAAGTAATTCTATTAAGAGTTATTTTTAGAATGATTTGATCCCCTCTCACTATATATATTTTAACTTAACATATTTTGTGAAAATCAACTAGTTAATTGTAATATATCGACTTAATAATTTAAATTGATTTAATTGAATGTTTGGTATATATAGAAGCTTAACATATTTTGTGACGATCAATTTAATGATTTAAATTGATTTAATTGAATGTTTGATTGATATAATCTTTCGACCAAAATTGAAGTTTTGTTTTATAAAAAATATATGAAATATTTTCTCAATATATGTAGTAACTTAATATATTTTGTAATAGGGGTGAGCAACGGGTGAGTTTGGTCGGGTTTGGGTGAAAAATGTCCAATCCATTGTAAATTGACTTTAGAAAAATGTGACCAATATCCGACCGACTGAGCTTTCGATTTGAGGCGGTTCGGGTTGAAACGGATTCAGATTTGAGCGGGTGGGTACAATCGGGTTTGAATTTTTTTGTAGACCAAGTTATCTTAACGAAGATGAAGCTTAAAACGATAAACAAATATTTTAAAAATAGTGTATAAAAATATAATGAAGGTGACAATAGATGGTGTAAGTAGACTCGTAGATGAAACATTTACAAACTAAATAAACAAAAATAAAAGATAACAAAATTCATAGTTGTTACATGCAAAAAAAATCTAAAGTTAAATTACAAAACCCATAAGAAACCACAGTCGCACAAGTTGTACTCAAAATGGAGATAAGAAGATGAAAAAAAAAAGTCAAAGAAAGAAGCAAAAAGAAAACTCTAAAAATGGACTAGTGTGTTGAGAAGTTGAATGAGGAAAGAGAAGACAAAATAAATATATAAGTTATGAGAAAAAGGAAAAAAAAATAAGTTACAAATTAATGACTATATTATACTTGAAATAAATACTTTAAGTTTGGACTATTGTTGTTTAGTTATACAAAAATAATAAAAATCTAAACTTATCTCATTTTCGGTTGGACTCGATTTTTAGCGAATTTAAAAATTCAAAACTGAACCCGCTCAATATAACCTATATAATATCAAAAATTTTACCCGATTTATCCATAAGACTCGCCTGAACCCACAAAAAAATAATATTTTATATTTTTTATCAGATTTTTCGGATTCGATTTAGGTCTCATTTTAATGCTCACACCTATTTTGTAACAATCAATAAGTTAAGTGTAATCCATCAATATAATAATTTAAATCGATATAATTGAATGTTTCATTAATATAACTTTTCAATAAAAAATGGAGTTCTGTTGCGGGGAAAATGTATGAACACGGCCAAAAGCTCATTTACATTATAATATATTCAATTTAATAAAATAGCTCGCGAGTGTGCTAATTGCTAAATATTTAAAGTTTAATTAAAATTTGGAAAAAAAATAAATTTTTTTTAGCTGCATTTTTATATCTCTAGTGCTATAATTATCCAATTTTAGTTTTTAAGGTTCTAATTAAATAATTTTAGTTCTTCATTTATTATAATTATATAATCTTAGGGGTGTATTGAATTAGGATTTTAAAGGACTTTTTTAGTGGAAAAAAATCCTGCGGATTTTAAAAGACTTTGCAGGATTTTCATGACTTTTAAGATTTTGCAGGATTCTACAAGATTTAAAATCAGGATTTTAATAGATTCTACAAGACTTTTAAATCAGGATTTTAATGGATTCTGTGGGATTTTGTGGAGTTTTGACATTTGATAAGATTTAAAAAAAATTCATACATTCAAATTTAAAAAGAGTCCAAGATAAAAATAATAATAATAATAATGTCTAGATAAATAATAATAATAATTCTCCATAATATTCTATCATCTTTTTATAGCATCTACTATCAATTGTAACAATTCATCGGAATCCTCCTAGGTCTAAGCTTCATAGTTTTCTTTCTCTTTTCCTTTTTCTTTATTATTTCCATGTGAATCTCCCATTTGAATTACTAAAACAATATATATTGAAAACTAGTTATATAAATAATTATGGATAAGAGACAAAATCAATAAAATTATATTATTATTTTTAGAAGCTGTTAGGGCTGCTCAAATTATGGGAGTCGAAAAGTTGGATTGATAGTGCTACTCGAGAGAAATATAAACGTCAAATCAAACACATGTTGAGAACGTATAACAAGCCCTATTTGTTTGTGCTCGAGGTATGGTCGAATAAAAATAAGGACTACTCGAAAATAGATGAAGGTTTCCTGAGGCTAGCCCAAAACAATTAGGTAGATAGGTCAGAGCGGTTACTAAAGGATAAATCAAAGAGATAAAGACACGTGGGATAAGCAATTATTGGAAGTTATAAGCACGTATCTTATATGGAGAGCAGTTACCCACCCACGACGCATGCACGCAAAAGAAAACTGTTCTCGAAAATTTCTATAAATAGGCAAAAGTTGGCCTTCTACGAGGTCGAAAAACTCATACTAAAACTATACTCTCAAGCACTCTCTGCCTACTCATATGACTTTCGTGCACGAAATTGTTTTTGGGTATGATTCATTCTCGGCCATTTTTTCGTTTTCTTTTTAGGAGTAGTATTAGTGTAGTTCGTTCTTCTTATTTCTTTTGATTATGTAGTTCTAGCATTCTGGCATTGTAATTCCTGTTAATTATGCAAGTGAACCATGATTTGTATTGCAAATGTATCTATCGTTCATGCTGTTTATTTAAGGATTTACTTTCATGAATGTTGTTACTTGTTAATCATTGATGAATATTTAGAAACAAGTAGCTTTTAAATCTTTCTGCTCCATCTCGTTGTACTTCAAATATCTAAAAAAAAACATACCTAAATTGAAACGTGTGTCGTGCTAGTCCGAATAAAAAGAATCCATAAAACGAGTTTCACCGTAAACAAATTGGCACGCCCGGTGGGACACGTTTAAGTCAAACATAATTGGATTAGTTTTAGGTATGTGTGTTGCATGAGACTTAGGAGTGGGAGAACTATGTCTACATCTAATAATCAGAGAGATACAAACACGAACAATAATAATCACGTGGATGTAGAACAAACAAACCCCAACCCTGATAATGTGACCAATGTAACCAGGGGGGCAGTGTCTTCCCCTGTGCTACTCGAAAACATAGCTAGGCAAACAAATGTCACTCAGGAACTAGCAAACGTCACTAGGGAATACCCCTGGGGTATGCCACAGAATTGGCGAAATACCCAACCAGTACATGTCGAGATGCCAGTATCTTTCTTAGGACCAAACTCACAAATGCATGTGTCCCCACAGGGATACAATCCTGGGCCAAACGGTTTGGGTTTTGTTATGCAAGATCCATATCAACACGTAGGAACAAGTCAGGAAGGTTCTCTGATTCGACAGGGTAGTTATGTACCTACGGGTATTAGTAACCAAGCTATGATGGCCCTTCGACAACAAATGGACCATAGTAACCATGACATGGTCAACTTGTTGTCAACTCAAATGCATAATATTATGACTCCTCTGTATGAATTGATAAATAAAATAGGAGATAAATTAGGTGAGGGGCCACCTTCGAGAGCCATGAGTGCAAATTTGAATGATATGGAAAATCTTGGCGGGAATGGAAATTTCCATCAGAATGTAGTTCGACCTAATAGAAATCCAAATGATAACTTAGATCAAATGGTAGAAAGGATACTGAATAGACATGGATTCGATGTAGGCCGAAATGAACGACCTTATTTTGTGTCAGCCTTCCCAGATTATGTGACCCAAGTCGAATTGCCTAGAGGAACAAAAGTCCCAAAGTTTTTGAAATTTGCGGGAGAATTAACTGAGTCTACAGTCGAACATATAGCTAGGTATGTAGTCGAATCTGGGGATTTAGCGAACAATGAATATTTAAAAATGAAATATTTTCCAAGTTCATTGACTAAGCATGCTTTTACATGGTTCACAACCTTACCCCCTAATTCGATACACACTTGGGTTCAATTGGAAGGTAGTTTTCATGAACACTTTTTTAGAGAAGAAATGAAAGTGAGTATAGTCAATCTAATGAACATTAAGAGACAAAGCCATGAAACTTTAGATGACTATTTAAATAGGTTCCGGCAATTAAAATCTCGATGTTATACAAATATACCCAAACATGAGTTAGTCAGGATTGCAACGACAGGGTTAGATTTCTCGATACGTAAAAAACTAGTAAATGAACAGTTGAGAGATATGACTCAATTAGCAAAAAAAGTTAGGAGGATCGAACAAATCAAGTTAGAAAAAGAAAGATTGAAAAAGTTTGATAGGTTTGTTCGAAAAGAGAAGGTAGCTTATTTAGAAAACACTGAGACAAGTGAGGATAATAATTATGAACTTTCGAGTGAGGATTTTGAAGTGAACTTAGCAGAATTACGCCCTGGTCCTACCTATCAATGTCAGATGTTAAAACCAGGAGAGAATATAGAAGGAACCTCGACTAAGAAATATAGTTTCGACGTAAGTAAGGCAGAAAATATATTTGATATCTTATTAAAAGATAAGCAAATTGTACTCCCAGAAAATCATAAGATCCCATCACTCGAGCAGAAAAAAGGAAAGAAATTTTGCAAATATCATAATATGTATGGTCATTAGACTAACAACTGTGTGCGTTTCAGGGATTTGATCGAAAAGACGATTACTGATGGTCGCCTTGCTTTCGGTGAGAAGGACATGAAAGTTGACACGGACCCATTCGCTGCTCATACTGGATACGTTGAACCAGTTTCGATGGGGATCAACATGGTGGATGTTGCTGTCGAGGATGATGAGAACATCGAACCCATTTCTGATGAAAAGCTCGAGGAATTAATGGAAGATTTCGCTAAGGAACAGGAGCCCATCTACCCTAAAGAGGGAGATAGCTTAGTCGAATTCTTGTCTAAAAAGAAAGAGGTTGATAGAGAAGTAATGTTATGTCCTCGATGCAGCGCTGTTTTCGATAGATCTGCTGCTAAAGCCTTTGAAGAATCAGATATGATGCGGAACTATAAAGCTGAAAATATTCGACAAAAACTCAAGCCCAATGCTGGACCAAATGCTGGGTTAACTATGAGGCAGGTTCATATGCCTCAATATAATGCTCCAGTAGGAAAAATGGAGATGTATAATTCATCGAGATTCGACAATACTTTTGTGCCAAATGCGAATGTGCCTGTGGGAAAATGGACTGCTCCACCAAGGCCAATGATGGGAAGCATGGGTCGAGGAAAACAGGTAATGAGTTATGCTGCACATCCAATGCAAGGAGTTCCTGGGAAAGCTCCAAGTTTGACTACAAGGCCCGGTAGAGTCTCGAATGGAGGGTATGGGCGTGGCTTTCGACAGCCTTTCAACAATCTAACCAAAACTCAGTGGAGGAGACAACAAAGGATGCGTAAGGCTACCTTTGAAGGTGTTAGGGGAAACCGTTTCTCGATTCCTGTACCTCAGAAAGGGGAATCATCTCGAAAGTTCCTTGAAGATGATGAAGACATGATAACCGATTGTTTCGAGAGTGGTTTTGAGGACTCCCTAGAAGACATTTGTGGGATAGTCTCCATTATGCCTTCAGAATATGTTGGGGCCATGGAGGCCGTGAATGAACAAGAGGATATTCATCGAGAAGACTTCTTCGATGACCCCAACTATGAATCCAAAATCATATGGGTCAATCAAATCGAGGGTTATCCCCAAATTCAATTCTGCTGTGTTCGACTCTCCCACGGAGAAAATGAAAGGACACCTTAAGCCTCTATTGTTGACATTGATGATCGAGGGGCAAGAGGTGAATAAGGTCTTGGTCGATGGAGGCGCAACTGTGATCATCTTACCCAAGACAATGCTGAAGAGGTTTGGGAAATCCTTGGCTTATTTGAAACCTCACAATATAATGATCTCGGACTACGCAGGAAAATCTTCGCACCCTGAAGGCATGATTCTGCTTGATGTGCAGATTGGGAGTGTAAAGATGACCACCATGTTTATAGTGACGCCATCTAAGGCGAATTTTAATGTCTTGCTAGGTCGAGAGTGGATCCATGGGGTAGGAGTCGTCCCTTCCACGGTGCATCAAGAGATCTTCTTCTGGAACGATGACGAAGGGTTGGAGGTTCTCGAGGCTGACCAGAGAACATATGAAGTTGGTATGTATTTTGCTGATCAATAATTGATAGCATTTGCAAAGACCAAACCTTTCGATGCTTACAATTCTGGAGTGATGGATGAAGAAGAAGGGATTAAGAAAAGGTTCTGCTGGGACGTGAAAAAAGGGTTTGTGATTCGAGCCGAAAAAGATTCGGCTCCACTTGATGAATGAAGAGTGAAGATCCTTACTCGAGCTTTTTAACTTGAATATCGGCCTATGTGGCCGATCAAACGGCCAACATGGCCGAGGGAAATGAAGGTGAGAAGGCATGTTTAAAGGAAATTGAAAAAAATAGCACGGTCACTTTGGCCGAAGAAAAACAAAAAAAGAAAGGGAAAATAGATTTCGAGGTCGAAAAGGATAAAAAACAAAGAAAAGAAGAAAAAGAGATAGACTTCGGAATCGAAAAGAATGAAGGAAAAGAAAAAATAGAGAAAAACCGAGAGGACCAAGTTGCCTCGAGACAAACAGAAAAAGAAAAAATAGAAAGAGACCAGGAGGTCGAAAAAACAAAAGAATGCAAAGAACAAGAGTTAGAACTCAAGTTGGATTGTATCTTCGATGATTCACCACTAGGATTTGAAAGAGCAACCAAAGAAGAGCATAAATTAGAATCTCATGATCCCCTCGAAGAAATCAACTTGGGAACTGTTGAGAACAAAAGAGTGACTTATGTTAGCAAGCTCTTGCAAAAGGACTTTAAGGAGGAATTAATTCGAGTATTGCATAATTATAAGGATTGCTTTGCATGGGACTATGATGAAATGCCAGGATTAGATCGAGAATTGGTGGAGCATAGGTTACCCATGATTCCAGGAAAGAAATCTGTTAAGCAAAACCATCGAAGGTTCGCTCCTAAAGTAATCGAGAAAATCAAAGAAGAAATTGAAAGATTATTGAAAGCAAAGTTCATTAGAACTTCGAGGTATGCTGAGTGGATCTCGAATATTGTGTCTGTTATAAAAAAGAATGGGAAACTCAGAGTATGCATTGATTTTCGAGACCTCAACACAGCAACCCCAAAGGATGAGTATCCATGCCCATTGCTGAAACTATGATAGACGTTGCTGCATGTAATGAAATTATGAGTTTACTTGATGGTTATTCTGGATATAACCAAATTTATATTGCAGCTAATGATGTATCGAAAACTGATTTTCGATGTCCAGGTGCTCTTGGTGTTTATGAATGGGTGATGATGCCATTTGGATTAAAAAACGCAGGTGCTACTTATCAGAGGGCAATGAATTTAATATTCCATGATTTAATTGGTAAGTTTGTACAAGTATATATTGATGATATAATTGTTGGGTCGAAGCAAAAAGAGGATCACCTAAGCCATTTAAAATTATCTTTTGAGAGAATGAGAAAACATGGTTTGAAAATGAATCCTCTAAAATGTGCTTTTGGTGTTACAGCAGGAGAATTTTTGGGGTTTGTCATACACCAGAAAGGAATTGAAGTTAATCGAAATAAGACAAAAGCTATCATGGAGATTAAACCTCCATCGAACAAGAAAGAACTTCAATCTCTCCTAGGTAAAGTAAACTTTATGAGAAGATTCATATCGAACTTGTCTGGTAAAACTAAAATATTTTCCCCTCTTCTACGTTTAAAAAAGGAGCAGGAATTTCGATGGAATGAGGAGCACCAGAAAGCGTTCGATGAAATCAAAGTTTACTTGGCTCATCCTCCAGTGCTTGCACCACTCTCTAAAGGGAAGCAACTAAAGTTGTACATTTCAGCTAGCGATTCGACTATTGCGGGCATGCTGGCGCAAGATGATGATAATGGTATCGAGAGAGCCATTTATTATTTAAGTCGAATGTTAGTCAGAGCAGAAATTAGATATACTCCTTTGGAAAAACTATGTTTAAGTCTTTATGTTGCTTGTACAAAGTTGAAGTATTATCTTAGGCCTTGTGATGTTGTAATATTTTGTCGAAGTAATGTGATTAAGTATATGTTGTGTAAACCTGTTTTACATTCTCGAGTTGGTAAATGGGCACTCGCACTAACTGAATACTCGTTAACTTTCAAGCCGTTAAAAGCAACTAAAGGTCAAATAATTGCATATTTTCTCGCTGACCACTCGAAAGAAACAAAGGAAGTCATTTACTTAACCACTAAGCCTTGGCAATTATATTTCGATGGCTCGAAACACAAATTGGGCACTGTAATAGGTCTTTTAATCATCTCCCCCGAAGGGCTCCCTACTAAATTATCATTGAAAACGAACAAGAGATACTCGAACAATGAAACCGAGTATCAGACACTAATAACAGGACTCGAAATTCTCGAAGAGTTAGGTGCTAGAAATGTATTGGTGAATTTTGATGATTGACCATATATGATGTTGTATGTTGAAATTGAACTTCATTTTGAGTTGTATATGGTTGGTTAGATGCATTGCATGTTTGGTTTGGCTATTTTTCAGTTCTTGGAGTGCATTTTTCGTGATTTGCAAGTAAAGATTATGATGTCGTGTCGGGCAAACTTTCATGGCGTCAGACTTGACTAGCATTAGAAGCTTTCTACCTTATTCACGTTGGGTGCCAAATTGGTGACGTCAAGCGTGGGATAGGGAGAAGTCTCTTACTTGATCATAGGGATGTGGATTGAATGGGGTTGGACATGAGGTAAGAGAATCGTTTATGCCTGAATTGGTGTTGGGTGCCAAAGGAGTGGTGCTAGACGTGAGGAGAGAGAATCATCTCAATCCAATTATTAGTGAATGTGGAGTAAAGTATGAAACCCAAGGTTACCACTCTTGACTAATTACTTACTGGAAAGATTGTGTGGTTCCTTGTAGATAGATAATGAATTGATTTTGTATCTAATTTGGTAATGCATATCAACGTCATGATATGTCTATACTCAGTTATACTAGTCCTAACAGTAGAAGCAAATTTTCTTGGTGTAAGTGGTGACACCTAAGAAATTAGAGATAGGGATTGATATCCCATTTTATCTATCGATCCAACAAACACATTAGGCATGAAAGGGATCAGATTGAGTCGGTAGTGTCAAGTCACTTAGATTATTCATGTGTATTAGGAGATCTTTATAGGTAAATACCTGACAACTCATTAGTTGTTGAATATGCATATGATGTGGTGTGATTTATTATTGTACATATGCATTAGATGAGTATATTGTTGTGCTATGTGATTATGGTGAATGTTTGAATGCTTTGATGTTTTAGCTTTCAAACATTGTGGTTGTTATGAGATGTGAATCCTATGGTGTGTTTGCTTGGTGAGTAGGATGGTGTTTAGTATAGATGTTTTATTTCTATACTTATTTTCTCTTTTGAAATATAGTTTTTATTTCATGTTTTTATGTGATTTGGACTATAAAGATCATGATTTCTCGTGGGAGCAAGACAGGGTTAGCTGAAGCGGGCTCTTGAAGTGATTGTGGGGCCACACTGTTGGTGATGTAGTTGATGGCTACTTTTGGATGGTTTGTATAGTTGTGTTTAATTAACACTTAAGATTTATAGTTTACTTTCTAGATTACAGTGTGTGTGTATTATATATATATATATATATATATATATATAT